TTTTTTTAACCTTAAACCGCATAAACACATTTCATTACACCAAATACACAAAATAATGTTATTTTTAGCAACATCATATAACCCCTTTAACAGTTCAGATTTTTACATCATATCAAAGTTTTGCCAAAGGGAAACCATAATGTGTAGAAATGAAACTCACTGATTATACGGTGTACACAAAATTAGGCAAATTAGACTTCACAAAACAGAGTACCAAATAAATAATTGCTATTAATAACAATTATTGTTTCAGTGTTTATATGCATCATTACGCAGATATTGTAACTGAGGGTCGGGGCACATTAGAACAAACCAAGAGCAGGAGGAAAAACAGCGCATGGAAAAACGAACATATCATTAGTGACAAGGGGTGTGATAAGCAGCTCTAACTTTGTAATTACTGTAATATGAAATAGTTATATTACACATCAAATGTCTATTTTCGTTTTCCTATGCTGAAAAAAACAATGTCTGAAAATAATAGATGAACTATAAATAAGTTGTAATTTCAAAGAGACAAACTCAACTATAGAACTATAAAGAACACCATCAAATAAACTTAGATTTATTATGTTACAAATGATTTCTCTAATAAATGCTGTTCTTTTGAACTTTGTATTCATAAAATTATTTATTTTTAATCAATGAATCATGGTATAAATATTAAACAGCACAACTGTTTTCAACATTGTTTCTTGAGCAGCAAATCAGCATATTAGAATGATTTCTGAAGACACCAAAGACTGGAGTAATGATGCTGAAAATTCAGCTTTGCATCACAGAAATAAATTTAATTTTAAAATTAAAATAGAAAACAGTTATTTTAAATACTGTTTCACAATATTACTGTTTTTACTTTTTGTTCAAATAAACGCAGACTTGGTGAATATTAGAGACTTCTTTGAAAGAAAAAAAAAAAATCGAACCAACCCCAGACCTTTGAACTGTAGTGTACGGCTGCATATCCTGAAATGTAGTTTCTGTGTTTTTCTTCTGCTTCGTCATAGATGTAGGATTGCAAAATGTAACTTATTCTTTTTCAAGAAACATCTCTTTGTTCTCTGCATCTTTCTGCTAAAACACAAACTCTCTGAATGGGAGGAGGGCAAGGACATCTCAGACACTCAAAGCACAAACTCCACACAAGACGGCTGACAGCAACACCGACATCAGTCAATCAAGAGTCTGCAATGTGACAGCCGCAATATAGAGCAGAAAAATCGATATCCCATTGACTGGGCCACTGCAGCCTAATCAAGGTTCCCAGACCTTTATGAATGCTTGAAGGAGAACAGATAGGCTGTCCTGATTGGGAGTCTGCAGCCTCTTTTTTTTTATCTCCTTCGCTAACGTTTTTAACTTGTCTTCATGGGCTGTGCCGCACCTGTTCTGGAGACTTTGCAGGAAGGCTATGTCACCTTGGTTCACTACCTTGTGCTTTCTTCTGACGTTGAGGAGAACAAGTGCAAATTATGGACTCTACAGCCTGATACTGCCATGACAGAGCCAGGAACATATTGTCCAGTGAAGGCACTATTCCTTGGCAGTGAACCTCGGCATTAAAAGGTCACCCCGAAGTGCCTCGCCTCTTGTCTCATTGAGGGTACAAATGAGAAATTCAGAAGTCAGTGCGTGTTAGATGGGTATCAACGTCAGATATGATCACCAATTTACTAGTAATCCAATATCACTATGTGGCCTATAATGGTTAAACTGATAATCACGAATATTTTGCTCAAAATGTATACTCACGATTATTAAGCTCTGTTCATACCAAGAGCGATAACTACAAAGATAACAATAAACAATAACTATATTAGCGCCCACACCAATGCACAATATCGTTATGTTTATTATAAGCTTGAGCAGTTTTGTCATCTGTCCTTTTAAATGCTTGAGCTCTGTAAAAACAGGATGGATTCTATTTGGGTGTCAGTGTTTTTATCATTCATCAGCTGGAAAAAAAATAGCCTTCGGAAAGTGATTGCAATAATATCGTTATCGCTATACTTGTATTTTGAGGAATTACATTTGACCTTTAATTGGGATTATTGCACTTTCACGTAGGCAAGAACACATCAGCTCATATACAGGGTTTCATTTGCCTCATCTATTTTCCTGATTTATTACTGTATATTTACCCTATCATATAAAAACAAAGAAACATTATATTGCATTATAAATACTGGTAAAACAGGAAGCTTCTCCTAAAATATAAAACGTGAAATTCTTAATATTAGCTTTAAAAATTCAAAATTATGTTCATGTTTTTCTATTAAAACAACAACAAAAATGATCTTGTATTGTGGCACGGAGGTTGCTTAAGTGCATCTATTCAGCAACAACAATCACAAACATTACTGTTGAGATCCATGTTTGGATTTATTACAGTTCATCACCGAAAATGTTTGATTGCATATTTAGCCACGGCAAACATGGCAAATAGCCTGTTGCTGAACTTTTTTTTTTTTTTCTTAGATTATCAGTGCTTTTTTTCTCAGTTTTGAGAGAGCATGTGCACATGGCTGCCAGATTAAATGTGTCCTTTTACAAGAACATCTCTGATTGGGGGATTTAAGCTCATGACATCTGGCAACCCCAAGCATGAAAGCTTGTGGAGGCTTTTTACCAATGCAAGATAACGCAAGCAAAAAAAAAATAAAATTGATCAATAAATAACCAGTAGGCAAATATTGCAGACACAGGAGCTTAATTAATCGACAGAAACAATAATCCTGATCACAAATAAAAGACTATTTATAGTGCAACCCTACTGTGTCTTTTGAACAATACTACAGGATTAGGATGGAAAACCACCTTGAACAACTCTGATTTTTTTCAGACTTGTAGGGAACTCTGGGGACTTTCACACATCAGACTTGTACTTGTTTCCAAGGCTTTCAGTCTTTTCACATCTGCAAGGCCATTACAGCTATAAAAATGTGATACCCTTCCAGCAGTGTTCCACATCTTGTCACTTAGTTTTTGACAACTTGTTTTGCAGGTTATATGCCAGTTTACTAACACTCACGGACATAAGTACAGGTGGAAGTGTGTGAGGCATATGAATGCCTTTCAAAAGCTTACTTTTCTAAGTGACAGAAACCATATTCAATGGCATTTTGGCATGTTGTATTTTGTTACAGTATATATTAAAAGGCATGGATGGGTTGCAGATAACACGAAAGTTTAAATCTGGTTCAGCTAGATGACATATACAGAGCAAATACTCTCAGGAAAAGTGAGCCTTACTTGTGTAGAGTGTCTAATGCATAACGCATCAATAATTTAACCGACATGAAGCGTTGAACAAAATGCTAATACCCATCAAAGAGACTGAGAGGGAGCCTTTGGAGTCGATGGCACTGTAATAGAGGCGGGATGGCGACACTCTTTTCTTAACTAATGGAAGATTCCCATTAGGACAAATCAATGCTCGACTTTGTTAACCCAGACCCAGAACTTAGTTAGCGCAATGAAACCACAAGAGATCCAAAATTTCGCATTATATATAAGAGCAACTCCCACCAACACTGGTTTCTTAGCCCTTGTCCTCAACTGCAAATCTATTTTCATCTACTTTGGTGCGTACATGAATTTAAGGCATTGATTGTTCTCAAGGATCAGATGAAAAGATGACGCATGCATTGGCACACTGCATAAAGAAGCGTATTATACAAAGAACAAAAGTGGTTTGTGTTTTTTTTCCTGTGTGTAGGGTGCCAAAGAAACTGTCACATTATATGCAAAAAAAAAAGAAGAAAATTCTTAAACTATTTTTGTCTTGTTTTCCAGTTAATAAGATTTGTCTTCAAAGTTTATTTTTCTTAACTCATTGGAAAATATTTTTCCTTGTTTTAAGCATAATGATTTGGTTAGAAATTTGAAAGAAAAAAATAAAATAAAATAAATGACCAATGGGATAAGGAAAATAAACAAAGCTATATTCTCTGAAAACAAGTCTTAATATTTTATGCAGTTTTTCTCTCAAGTTAATTTATCCTGGATGCTTTTTTTTTTGTTTTTTTTTATAGTACTCTAGGTCATCCCCAAAACCCTAATGACTCTCTTGCAGGGCTCTGCCATGTTTACTAATGATGAATTCCCCAACATTCCCATGACATTTCAATATCCGGCTCTTCCATACATGTTGCCAGAGCTGGGGAATCCCATCTGGTCAGATTGCGATGGGAAACATAAGCCTTGTATGAGCAAAGAGCAGAAAGTGTGTTTTTCTTGGAGTGGTTGGGTCTGGTGCTCATGGGAGTCGAACATCAGGAGGCACTGAGCGTCGACAGAGTGCAAATGAGCAGTGGAGAGAGAGAAAGTGTGCACAGCCTTCCTGCTCTGGATCCACGGGCACCCATGCCTGTAAGCAAACGCAAACACAACCATCAAGAAACACTATTTAACCTCCCGAAGGAGAGAAAGAGAGCACTGTGGTTTCAATTCTCAGACAGCTCATTCCTATATCAAAGAGAAATTGCCTAATAATGTAGATAGTGGAGCGGACCTAATACTCCATGTTCAAGAACAAAATATGGTTTAAAACTGTTTAAAAAAAGATGTAGAAAATTGTCATCAGGAAGTCTAAATTAAATACATTCTAATTTATAATTAGATACATATTTCTATATTAAATAATATATTCAAGTCAAATTGTAAATATAATTTGTAATTATATACAACTATTTATTTCTAAAATGTATTGTAACTATACACAGCTATTTCATCACATGTTGGCACCCATGCCTGTAAGCAAACGCAAACACAACCATCAAGAAACACTATTTAACCTCCCGAAGGAGAGAAAGAGAGCACTGTGGTTTCAATTCTCAGACAGCTCATTCCTATATCAAAGAGAAATTGCCTAATAATGTAGATAGTGGAGCGGACCTAATACTCCATGTTCAAGAACAAAATATGGTTTAAAACTGTTTAAAAAAAGATGTAGAAAATTGTCATCAGGAAGTCTAAATTAAATACATTCTAATTTATAATTAGATACATATTTCTATATTAAATAATATATTCAAGTCAAATTGTAAATATAATTTGTAATTATATACAACTATTTATTTCTAAAATGTATTGTAACTATACACAGCTATTTCATCACATGTTGTTAAAAATATGCAATGGTTTGGTTGAATGGCTCAGGTTGTCAAATGAAACATTTGATATTTTCATGTTATAACTTATCTAACATATCACATATCACCTTTTGCATCTAAATGTGCCCTATTCATGGAAAGAACCATTACTGAGGAAAGAATCCTCTGAAAGAATCGGGTTGAATCTGAAAGCAAATCTCTGTACGAAGGGGGAGGGAAGTCGAGCTCATTTTGATTGCCTCCCATTTGAAGGAGTGAAGGAATTGGGGGTGATTCTCACTAATTTATATGCAGCTCTGGCTGTGCAGTGACAGAGATAGATAGCGGAGGAGCGTGCATTCCTTAAAAGGTCGGATTCTACGACACACTGAAAGACTGAAGTGAACGGAGCAAAATATTTAGGCATCCAAACTGACTGAATCCCCATTAAGAGCTCATCAATGCCGGCGGAAAACGAAATAAAAGACGGCAACAGGAAATGACTTACTGAGTTGGTGGATGTGGATGGGCTCGCTTCCTTCCCCCAAGCCTCCTTCACTGAGGGTCTTGATCTGAATGACGTAGTTGTCGTTCAGATTGAGGGTCAACTCAACCGAGGTTTTGTTGGTGATGATGGAGTACATGTCGTTATTCCGGTGTCTTCTGTACAGCACCTGCAGATGATGGCACCCAAATCAATCAAGAGCTTCATTCGGAATAATTAACACTAGGGCTGTCAACCTTTTTTTTTTTTCTTTTACAATATAAGTCCACCAATTTAATGCAATTAGTGGAATTTTTGCTGAAAAAAGCCCCCAAATGAAGATAATTCTAAGACATTGTATTATTGTGGCAATACAATATACATACAGGACTCTGATTTGAGGCATCATTCATGTCTGTAGTAGTTTAATATTTAGAGTTAGTCTCTAAAGCCCTATTCGCACGGGATTAGTATTATCTGTGGACCTTGTGTGATTTTGAAATTACCCCCCCACCTCTGAATTTCGTGTGGTGCAATCGCACGGGATAAGCGAAGCCTGTAGGATTTTATTCGAATTTACTGACTTATCTCCCGGATGCGATGTCAAGGCTTTGAGAGTCCCGTTCTATGGTCCGGTTAGATGGATTAAAAAAAAAGAGAAACCAATATAGTTTCGTGACTGACTTGGAAACTGTGATTCATTCTAATTAGATAGAATTGGTTTCCACAGTTTGATGTTGTGTGAGATTGTGTGTGTTTTTATTGACTATTCCTGGTTTTAATTTAGCATTTAATTTAGCGTTGTTCAGCCGTTTGGGTCAATTTCTGCTGCTTTTAAATGCTTTATAAATAAACATGACTTGACTTCACTAGACTACTACAAAAATAGATGGTTGAAAACGCCTTCAGTTGGAAAAAACACCTTCAAGTCATGTCACAGCAGGTTCACAGCATGTGTGTAGACTTAGTGATTTGTCCAAAAGTTATAGGTTTTCAATCTTTCACAGACATAACTCAAAAAACAAAGAGTGAACTTCGCGAAAGATGGATAAAAAGGCGCACAGGAAACAAAAACCTTGAAAAATGATATACGACCCGCCAAATGCTGGCCGAATCACAGAGATGCCGATTCTCACAGGACTAATATTATCACAGGACCTCGGTGTTCGGCGAAATATTGTAGGTCATTTGCGGGGGAATTTTTACTTTACAAATTACAGACATGGCCGATTCGTACTGGATTAAGATCACAGATAACCTCCGCAATAATTACAAATGACTGGAGGTCACCAGGTAATACTAATCCCGTGCAAATAGGGCTTAAGTATAAGAAACAA